TATATATATATATATATATATATATTATATATATATATATATATATATATCAGCGCTCAAAATAATTATTCTAGGTTGCAGATCAACATTGATCAGCTTAAATAAAAAAATTAAAAACCAGACGATCAAATAATTTTTAGACTATCTATTTTTTATTAAATTTTACTAACATTTATAATCCACTTTTTTAATCCTACCTTAAATTTTTGTTTTGCTGTTATAATTTTATAACTTTTAATTGATTATAATTTTATTTATTTTATTTAGAATTTAAGTAAATTGTTCATTTTGCTGTTTTGAATTTATTAATTTTATTTAGAAATTAAGCATACCGTTGGTTAAGGTTTTTTTTTTTACCTTTTTTTTTCTTTGCATCACGCAAATTTTGATTTAAAATTGAGCAAAATATATGTTTGCTATTCTAAACTGCCTCTTTTTTCAAAAACGCCACTTATACTATTTTACGGTATAGGCCTGCTTTTTTAGTTAGGCTTATTTTATAAATGTCTCACATAGGTCCAGTTTCTTTGGAAATGTTCTGAAAATAACTAAAGAGCTGTGGCCAAATTGTCGCAACTAAATATTATATGTGTGGTCAGGAATGGAGTGCGATTGCATCTGCTTCCAAACCAAGCCTGATATAATATATATATATATATATATATATATATATATATATATATATATATATATATATATATATATATATATATATATATATATACATATATATATATATATATATATATATATATATTATATATATATCAGGCCATGGCATGAATCATGAGCGGTCGCGCTTGTCACGCCTGCAATTTATAAATATTCCATTAACGAGCGTGTTTAACATGACAAACGCGATCGCTCCCGATTCATGCCAAGGCCTGATATATTTATATATATATATACATATATATATATATAATATACATAAATATATATATATACATAAATATATATATATATATATATATATATATATATATATACATAAATATATATATATATATATATATATATATATATATATATATATATATACATAAATATATATATATATATACATAAATATATATATATATATATATATATATATATATATATATATATACATAAATATATATATATATATCTATATATATATATATATATACATAAATATATATATATATATACATAAATATATATATATATACATACATAAATATATATATATATATATATATATATATACATAAATATATATATATATATATATATATATATATATATATACATAAATATATATATATATATATATATATATATATATACACAAATATATATATATATATATACATAAATATATATATATATATATATATATATATATATAATATATATATATATATATATATATATATAAATATATATATATATATATATATATATATATATATATATATATATATATATACATATATATATATATATATATATATATATATATATATATATATATATATATATATATATATATATATATATATATATATATATATATATATATATATATATATATATATATATATATATATATATATATATATATATATATATATATATATATATATATATATAGGTATTGGTATAAATATATATGGCAAGATTGAAAAAATTGAGAAATGTAGTTATACTAAGGAGCAAATTTTAACCCTTGGAAATTACACTGAGGACAATGCACTAAACCACTAAGCTATCAACTGAGCGTTCAAGAAAAAACAAACCATTTTATAAATCTTTTATGAGCTCTGCATATGCAGAAAAATGTGCTTGTTAATAGTATTTGCTCTTAGAGCAATTTTTTTATCAAACTACTTTTAACACAGAGCCGTATTTTTATGGGTCCAGTCAATTAGTTGTTTATAAACTTGCAAGAGAAATAAAAATAGTACTGGACTGCTTAAAATCATAGGGTGCAAATAAAGTCAGACAGAAACATTTTAATTGCCAATAGAGAGACAGATATAAATCTAACATTAGTTAGCGCATAGTGGTGTAATGGTGGAGCGCTTGCTTCATAAGCGAGTGGTTATGAGTTCCATCCCCACTACATCTCTGGTAGTACTGCGCTTAACTTGTTTCTTAATGCAGCGGTTTTGTTCGTCAAGTTTGTATTTTGGAGTTATAGAGTTGAGAAAGGGTTATAACCACAATTAAGTAGCCCCCTCGCTTGTAGTGGCCTTCTCAGCATTAGGGAGGTGAATTAACATTAAAAAAAAAAAAGTTTATGAATAATGTAAACTACTACTTTTTTAAGCATATATTCTAGTTTTGTATTATAGATTTTTATCGCCTTTAAACATCACATTTTATTTTGTAGAGAATCAGATTTAAAAAGAAAAAACTATAAATCCATAAACCTCATTATTTGAATATTTGGATTGTCTTGACCTGCATAATAAGGGTGGAATCTATCAGTACGAACAACATCTTTATCAACTGTAAATTGTACTTTTCGCCAAAATACTTGGAATTCTTCTGAAGATAAAGCCAAACTTAAAAATAAAAAAAAAATAGATAATATTATTCTTATTATTATATATATATATATATATATATATATATATATATATATATATATATATATATATATATATATATATATATATATATATATATATATATATATACGTATTAGTGCTTGCATGTATCCTTGCGAGAGTGCTCGATGAATTAAAGTAAATTAAAATGATTTAAATTAAAACAGAGCTGTATTTATATATATTATTTATAAATAAAACTGCATATTTTTCACAACTATTAGTTTCATGCTAAATGCAATCATCAGGTGTAAATATGTTGTTTTTTTTTTTCTCGTAAAAATAATAAATCTGTACAAAAGAAAATGAGTTAAAAAATCTAATCTTTTGGTTTGTGGTTGTCCAGCAAAAATTTGTTCTCATGGCGACATTTAGATATTAGTTCGTTTTTTTTGTTTAATAATTCTTGAGGATTTTTATACAATAAAATAATTAGTTTTTCGTATAAGCATAACAAGCATTTTTTGGTTATGTTGTTGTAAGCGGGGGCATATTTTATGATGGACTATTTAAAATTGGGTGTTGTTTTTGTTTTATTTTGTGTATCCCATATATATTTAGAATGCGTGGTTGCATTTGTGAGTTTTTTATTTTTGAAGGATTGCTTGTGATTCGCCCATCTAGTTTTCCACATGACCTCTGTTGAACCAATGTATGTTTTGTCGGATGTGTTTGGGAATGATGCAATGCACTTATAAATTACATTTGTTTTTCTGCAATTTCCGTTCATAGGGCAGATTTTGCTTAGTTTACAATTGCAAGCTAAAGTGGTCGTTGGGTTCATCGAAATAATTTTATTGTTGTGGTTCTTTATAATTTATGCTATGTTGCTTGTACAGCTGTAGCTGACTTTTGTTGTGTTATGGTTAAATAGTTTATAAAGCGGATTTGGTTTTGGAAAGTGTTTGTCAATTAATTGTAAGAAGGTTTTGCCTATATTTGTGAGAACATTTTTATTGTATGGTGGGTTAAACCAGATTATATTTCTTTTTCTTTTACGATTGGGGGTTACTTTAGTATCAATTTTAGGGTTGTATTTGAAGCTAAAATCTTTGAACCCATTTCTTTTTAGGGCCTCGTCATATTCTTCCCTTCCCGAGTTGAATATTTTTTCATCAGAAGAATTCTGGGATAACCTATCGTTGATAGCAATCGGAATTTGTTTAATAATTTGAGGGGGGTGGTTGGACTCAGTGTGGATGTAAAGTAGGATGCTATTTGGTTTTTTAAAAGGATGATATGAGTCTTTTTTAAGGTTAAATGTAACGTGTAAGAAGTTAGCAATTGTTAGGTTTGTCATAATTTCTATTTGGAAGCAGATTTTTTTAAAAATTTTCATAATATTTTTTCGGATTCTATCATTCTGTGCGGCAGATTTTTGACGCATTATTATCAGTCCGTCGTCCCGGTAAAGGCCTATATCGCTGCTGGTAACAGTTTCAGATAATGAATATAATATATACAGACCAACCAGCTTGCAAACCTCGGCTCCATAGTAACAAACCATTGTGACGTCGAAGCAGTCGTTAGTTGACTTTTTTCTCCAAGTTTCGTTGTTGAAAAATAACAAAGACTTTCTGCAATGGATAATTGTTCTGATTTCTTCTTCGCTAATTTTTATAAGTTGTTTTGCAAACATTAGAGCATTTTTTAGAATTGTGAGTGTGATGGATGGGTAAAATTCAGTGATGTCGAGTTGGATAAAAGTGCAGTATTTCTTTTCTTTTATGCTTTTGAACCATTTGATGACTTCAGCGGTATTTTTCCACACACATATATATATATATATATATATATATATATATATATATATATATATATATATATATATATATATATATATCATATGCGGTAGTGGTGTAGTGGTAGAGCGCTCGCTTCATAAACGAGTGGTTCCAAGTTCGATCCCCACCACGTCCCTGGTGGGGATCGAACTCGTTTCTCCGCGCAGCGGCCTTGTTCGTCAAAGTTCGTGTTTCGGAGTTATAGAGTTGAGAGAGGGGTTATAGCCACAAAATAAGTAGCCTCCTCGTCTGTAGTGGCCTTCTCGGCCTTGAGGAGGTGAAGTAAAATAAAAAAAAAAAAATATATATATATATATATATATATATATATATATATATATATATATATATATATATATATATATATATATATATATATATATATATATATATATATATAGGCCTTGTTTTAAAGCGTTACGCCTGGAGCGATTTACGTACACCTTAAGCAATTTTTACGTACGCGTTTTGGTTAAGCTACTTTTTATCATTTTTTAACTTTTAAATTAGCGGTAACATAAAAGAAGTAATTAATTTTTAAAAAAACCACATTTACTTTTGAATAACGATATGTAAAAATATTTATTAGAAAAAAAAATTACGTTAAATATAATTGAAGTAACTTTTTATTGTGACATATCATACGTTTTTATAACATTTAATTTTACGCTTAACTTTTTATTCAAATATTTAGTAACATGAAAAATTGTTTGTCAATCCTTAACTACAAATTTTTTGCAAATGTTTTTAATAAAAAGTAGTAACTTTTTAAAGTTTTTAGTAAAAAACTTTTAAAAAATCTATATTCCAAACTTATTAATACAGAATATAAATGTTTTTTGTAATATAAATTTTTTAAGTGTTTTTTACTAAATTCATATTAAAAAACATTTGCAAAAAATTTGTAATTAAGGGTTGACATTTTTTTAATATATCAAAAAACGTCTTAATATTTTTGTTATCATGATAACAAAAATATCAAGACATTTTTTCAAGATATTAAAAAAAAGGTGCCAATGAATGAACAATCTATTTGTATTTTTCTAAAAATTACTTCATTAATTATTACTCTTTGCTTTTCTTATTAGTTAAAGGTATATAGATACCTTTGCTTTTAAGTTATGCGGGGGGAGGGGGCCAGCACAGAAAAAAAAAATTACCTGTTACTCGCAATTTTTGAATGAAGACAATTTGTTAAATTTCTTCAGCGTGCGATTCAATAAATTTTTTTCATAGATCAAGTTATATTATGAGGTAAAGAAATCACGAGTAGGCTATAACATCCGCTGATGACACTAATATTACGTTGAATATATTTATATAATGAAGGTTTCATTATGCACGCGCGCATTACAGATTCCGTTAAATAAATACTAAGGCACCTTTTAGTTTAACGACAGTCTCTATTTTTTATTAATGAATATGTATTTTTCTTTATAAAACAAGACAAACTAGTATATAAAAACCTTTTATATTTCTATTCTCTCTAAATTGTTTAAAGTTCGAATATGGATTGTATTTTGAAGGACAAAAGATTTCCTTTAAAAACTTTTAAATCTTGGGACTTTGCCGATGCTTTTTGCCGATCTTCATCAAAATAAAATATAATCCTAAAACAATTCTGCCGTAAGGGCAGCTGCCCTACGGTTTATAAATAACACAAGTCATGTTAAAATATTTTAACATGTTTCTATATTTAATTTAAGTTGATATATAAATAAAAATAAAAATATAGTTTAATAAATAAATTAAATTTGTTCTTAACAAAGTTTTAGTTGAGTATTTTTTAAGTTTGCACGATTAAAGTTTTGCGGAGAAGTATTTGTTTTTTGTTTTAAGAATAATTGACAAAAGAGTTTGCATAATTAAGACTTTTATACAATACATTTTTGTGTATAACATTTTCAAATATTTAAAAACATGTTTTTAAATTTGTAATTTTTGAATTTGTATAGAAGTTTATACTTTAAAAATTGTTTTTCTCACAACTGTCTAAAATGGAAAAACAATGTTTTAGAATTAACCCATCGATATGCCAATCAGATTATCTCATATTAAAATTAAAATAAGTAGCCCTAATATTCAGTATATAAATTTACTGAATATTAGGACTGGGCCGGCATATGAAGTAAATGCCTTTTTATGCTGATGATGCTAAAGTCATAGAAGAGCTTAGGCAAAATTTCATAGAATAAATTCATAAAGACGATAAATAAATAGGTTTGACCAAGTAACAAGTCTTATTTGCCTATTTAAATAAAAATCAGGGCTTTAAAGCAGAGGTAAAAAAATTTTTAAACTTTGTTTTTTTCACCGGTTGTGACATAAAATTTGTATTAAAAGTGTTTTTATTAATGAAGTTAATTTTGGTCACGCTTCTGAATTTTTCTTTTTTATCAAACTCTTTTTCAAACTTGTCAAATTCTTCATCAGAATTAGATTTAATTAAAACTGAGTGCTGTAGATTATTCAGCTGTTTTTCTTATTTCTTGACTTACTGTTATATTTTTTGGCATTCTTTTATGATTATTTTCTGCTATCGCTTTTAAACTTTCTCATTTCTCTTTCAATTATATTCTAACAATATTCTACAATTAGCATCAACATAAACTGTGGCTAGAAATATATTACAAATTTGGCTAGAAATATATTACAAATTATTATATGCGGCAACATAATCTACATGGCATTTTACAAAACACAATTTTATCAAAATTAATTAAAAAAAAAAAAAAACGCTAGCATTTTTGAATGTATACAAAAACAACTTTATATACATCAGCTCAAGTATAATTTATAAAATATTAAATTTCTAAGTGCCTCAAGGTGAGCATCAAATACTTAACACTCAATCTATGCATATAATATCAATATCATAGTATAAAATGCTTTATTTAGAAATCATAAAACTTTAAATGCATTATTAATTACAGTTTAATTGAGAAAAATCTTTTTTCATATAGAAAATAACTTCATAGGACTTAGAAATCCCTTAAGCAAAAAGTATTCATACTTTGATATTCCAAATTATCAAAGAGAGGAGCTAGCTTGGAGCCGGCTCAGGAGCCAGCTCCACCTAGAAATGTTTCAGCTCCGGCTCAGCTCCTTGTAAAAACACCAGCTCCAGAAAGCTCTGGATCTAGCTCCAGAGCAGCTCAAAAGTCCTGATAAAAATAATAACTTAAAATAATAACTTATCACGTTTCTTGTTTAAGTTTATAAAGAAATGAATAATAAAAACTTATAAGGAAATGAATAACTAACAATGACAGTAATAGAATGGTTGAATTGACGAAAACCTATTTATTTGTAGATGTTGGAACTAACATTTGCCCACAATTAACTAGTTAAATGTGGGCAATAAAAATCAGTAGTAACACTTGTTAGTTACAACAACTGAAGTAAATTTCTTTATATAGATATTCTTATACCTTGAAAAATCTGCAAAAAAAAACTTTCATAGTTAACCAGGTTTGGACAGGAATGGCGTGCGATCGAATGCTATTGCTAACCACGCAATTTTTTTTATTTTTTTTACAACTTGACTGTGGCTGTTTAGATAATTTGATGATTTAAAGATTTCACAAAACCGCTGAAAAAATAAACATTAAGCTAAACTTAAACTAGGAAAAAAATTGCAAAAAAAAACACCTAAAGAAAATAAAAAACAATACCTCTTGAAAAATAAAATATATAACTGTTAAAATAAAATTTTAAAACTTAAGCTCGAAGCAAAATATTTATTGAATACTTGTTTAATAAATGAACTAAATTATTAAAAATTTTACATATAAAATTTTTAAACTGTATAAGCATTTATTTTTACTATAAAAAAATAATTTAAATTCAAATTTAATTTTTTCATTAAACAAATTTAAAGTAACTTAAAAAATCTTTCAAAAATTAACTGTTTAAAAGATTTTTAGAATAACATGGAAAATTAGTTGCAAACATTTAAACTTATCATAACACATAAAAAAATTTACAAAAACACTTTTATTAATTTTACACAAAATGCATTGATTTTAAACAATCCCTATAATTAATTTTTTATTTTATTTAAAGCCTTTGTAAAATAAAAACTTTGTAAAATAAAAACTTTAGAACAGATCATCAATGAAAAGTTCCTAACATAACAAACATTTTTATTGTATTTAAATTAAAACATAAAAACAACCGTGGTCAAATCAAAGAGAAAAAAAATTATTAGCATGGTCAGCGTGCAATCACACACCATTCCTGTACAAGCCTGGTAAACACGTATAATACTGACTTTTAAAAATATTTTTAGAGCCTACCGCTTTGCATGGATAGCTTCATATGCTTTTTGTTTTTCTATTTTCAAAATTTCCCTTTCAGAACTTGTTGAGTGCATTGGGTAGTAATAGAGTAAAAATTTCCAAGCATCAACTCGAACATCTTGACTGACTCCACCAAAGAATACATGCTGAAAATCATATTACATTTTTATTAAACTTTTTTTATACATGCATGCATTTTTTTTTTTTTTATACACATACTTTATAAAGACTTATTAAACATAAAAAAGGGTTCAAAATATCACAAGTTCTGAGCGAAAATGTTGTAACTAACAAAATAGTGAAAAGTTAGTTTAGTATATATGATGTAGTCTTAGTGGTAGTATATGAATATAGTTGAATTTTCCTAAAATCATCCTCCGCGTGCCAGATGCGCACACATAGAAACTGCTGCAACATCAATTTATTCAAGACATCTTGATTTCTAAACCACATTTTCTCAATTTCACAAAAATGTCAGTTACAACCCTTTGGCTTTCAGCTTGCAATATATGGTTGTTAAAATACAAAATAATTTCTAAATGTCTACTCGAGCTGCCCTTAATGAAGTCTATAAAAAACAAAACTGTGTTAAAAACTAGCAAAAACTTTTTTACTAGGTTACCACCAGGTCTTTTACTATTTGACAGGTTCCAAATATTAAACAAAATAAAAATTATTTTTAAAGTATATCTCTAGATTTCAAAAGAAAGTTAAACTAGAATTAAAAAAATTTTTAAAAACCATTATAAAATTTTTTATAATATCAGTTAAATAACCTCTTAATCTAGGCTCTTGAGCAATCTCTAAAAATAATTTTTAAAGTTAATTTTTTTTTTAATTTAGTGCCATTTCAAAATAACAGAATGCGTTAATAACATGGTTAAATAACAGGGTTGTGGAGCCCAGATTTCAACTCTGTGTCAAAGGTGCAGTGTTGTATTTATCTGATCATACAAGTCGCCTAGTTATTGCAAAGAACAACTGAAATTAAAAAAACAAAGTCAATAATTATTTTTATCAATCATTACATTAAAACCAAAAAACTAAATTTTTAAGAGCCAAACAAAGTTAGTTAAAAAACCTGGTTTTTGCTGTGATACCTGAATAAATGTAGCTTATAAAACTATAAATGTAGCTATAAATGTAGTTATAAAACTAACGGTCTAAATAAATATTTAAATGCTTGTAAAATAATTTTGGTTAGAAAATTTTCTTTTAAACTTCATTCAAATACATTGTATTAAAACAAGATAAATTTTTTTTCTGTTGCTGAATAAGTTAACTAATTTAATATTTTGATAAAATTTAATTCTTTAATAGTTAATAAAAAAGAAAAATTTGAGTTGAAACTCAAACTTTATTTTTTTTTTTCAATTTATCTGAATTTTAATATATTTCTAAATAAGGAGCATATTTTATTTTATAAATCATATTTGTACATATGCATATGTATTTGTAATTTAAACTTTTGTAACAACGGTTAGTAAACAACCGGATTTGATATTTGACCAAGGCAGGGTTTGATAAAATATAGTCAAGGCCGGGGCCGGGTTTGTGACCAGGGCTGCATAAACATTTATACATCCTAAAGTACTTTTTTTTCTCAAAAATTAAGTTTGATTTTGTATATATGCGTTTATAAACATCATTATGATCAACATAATCATGATCATCATCAGCAGGCTTTATCTATCCTCTTATATGCTGCTTCTCTAATCATGGTCAATACTCAAACGAGCTATCATCTCTATTAAACCAAAACTCACTCTTGCTTGGTTTCTTATTTAACAAGTTGCATTGTTTTATAAATATTCATAAATATATTTTTATAAATATATGCAAGAATTTAATAAATAGTAAAAGTATAAAATTATAATATATAAAGAATTATAAATTTATTTCTAGCCCCGGCTATCAACCCCTGCTAAACCTAACAACTTTGCCAGGGCCGGATTTGCAAAAAGTCTAATTTTTAGGCAAGACCGGGGTCCCAGTCATTTACTAACAACAATATGGGGTTTTTAAAATGTTAACTACTTCATTAAAATCCTTTAAAAAACCTCAATTACTTAATTAAAAATATCTTAAATTATTTAAATATTACCAAAAAAAAAGTTTTTAGCTTATTGTAAATAGCGTAACCCATGTAAAACTACTCTTTGCATATGTGAAATGAAGGCCCCAGCACCTATTTCAGTATGATGTCAGTCTGCTGATATATATATATATATATATATATATATATAATATATATATATATATATATATATATATATATATATATATATATATATATAAATATATATATATATATATATATATATATATATATATACATATATATATATATATATATATATATATATATATATATATATATATATATATATATATATATATATATATATATATATATATATATATATATATATATATATATATATATGGGTCATTCTCCTGAAAAGTAACATTTTCAATAAATTTTTAAATATTAAAATTTCCGAACCAAATTTTTTGCTGTTATAGCTTTAAGTATATTTAATCATTTGTAAGTATCCGCACACCTCGTTAAAAGTCAGTTTACAAAAATAAAATTAAAAACTTTTAGCGTAATCAACAGACGTGACAAATTCACCACAGACGTGACATTATGAATAGTATTGCTTTATGCAGTAACAGCTATAAGTGTCTGTCAGGTAATTTATAAAAATAATAACCATCTTTAATCAGCAGTTTGTAATAGTTGACATAAAATAGTACATGGTACAAGTTTTTACAGATTTTAAGTACTACTAGTTAGTAAAATTTTAAGTACTATTAGTTAGTAAATGTTTTTGAATGGTAAGTCTTGTGGAAAACAATATTGCCCCCTGTTATTGAGGTTTGGCTGGCACAATCTCAACACTACATCACTCTTATCAATGATAGAGATGTCATCTTTCTCTGGAAAGGTAAAAAATTCCTGGCCAGATCTTCCCAAAAACTTTATGACAAACCTATCTGCACCTAAGGCTTGAATTAGCCCAACATACTATTTCACTTTTTTTTTGATGTTTAAAACTTGACAATTACAAAATCATTGATTTTAATAGACATGGTTACTTAGTCTTGTCAGTTTCTTTTCACATTTCCCTGGTCCTTGGGATTCTTGAGCCAAACATTTGGATGTTGTTTCTTCAGCTGGCGTTTTTTTCATTTTCAATTGTTCACCTGCTAAACCATGTAAAGGAATTTCTTAAAACAGAGGCACAAAAAATTATTAATGAAACAGAAACAAGTTAAATAATTATTTTACAATAAAGATTTCACAGATTCCAACAAAGTCATGACTGTCAAAGCCTGTTATCTGAAAATGTACAGTAAGATTTTGCCTTTGTTTTCAGAAATACTACAATAGTATGCCATTACTGTATGTATTGACACATGGTTTCTTGATCCGCCAAAAGTGGAGTGATTGGATTTCGTTTGAGTATTTGTAATTGTAATTTTCTGTAAAACTCAGTTGTTTGTTTGAACTCATTCCACAAATTTAACATTGTATCATTTAATAGTCTTTTTTGTTTTTTCACTTTGTTTCTTGTTATTTATTTTTTTTCCCAGCAGTAAGCCTACTGGAACTATCTTTTTCTAAAAAGTTCCTAACTTCCATTTCAAGTTGTTGTTTTTTCAGTACATTCAAGGGCTGATTGATTGTATGGTAAGATATATCTTGAAGTAAGATTGTGGAGGCTTCTTTGAAGTCTGTACTTCTTTATTATCTTTCCGCTTAATACCCTGGGAAAATCCTTTTTTTTTGGCAATACAACTCTCAGTAGAAAAATTTGATTGTATTTGTGTCTTTAACACTTTGCTAAAAGCAAGCTTTTCTTTACTTTCTTTGAGCATTTTGTACCACTGGTCATTTTTTTAACCACCTTTTGAGGAGTATTATCTTTTGCATATTGCAATCTGTAGAATTTTTGTTTGTATTTATCCCCTCTTTGCTTTAACAAATTGTTTTTTTCTTCTAATTTTTGGATTTTTTTCTTCAACATATCTCTATATTTACTACAAACTTTTAGCCCACTTCTGGAACTAGATTCCTGACTGGGACTAGGTTGTACATTTATGCCTATTTCATTTTCGATAAGCATATTTACAGTTGGGCTTTCAGGTGGTGTAGACAAACTTTCAATAAGTTGCTATCTCTTCTTTTTCCTTTCCCAACTTCTCTTGGTCCTTTCTTTCCAACAATTTCTTACTGATCTTTTATCCCTTTCTGAAAGTTCATGAATTTTCTTTCGTGTTGCTTTTTTTTTTTTCTCTATCTTTCCGTTTTTGTTCTTCATATTTGTCAGGGTTTTCAGCTTTCATCTTCTCCTTCGCTTCCCACATACTTAACTTTTTCAATTCTCTAGTTTTTTCTATCTTTTCCATTTTTGTTAACTGTAAGTAAAGAAAAAATTATAACTATCTGGATAGAAGCATTTATCTTTTCAATAATAATTAATTAGCTATATGAGCAAAGTTTTTAAATGTTAAAAATCCTTAAAATAGGCATTAAAAAATTCAGTTACAGGTCAAATGGTCATTTGTTGTCACATCCATTCCATGTGTGTCACGTCTGTTGCTCACTGTACTCCACAGACGTGACATCCACAGACGTGACAAATTAAAGGAAAAACCCTAAAAGGAGTGCTATGTTTTGAGGCTAGGACTCTGTTCCCTTTGGAGTAAATATGCCTAGGTAATTGCTATTAAACAAAAGTATTGCTTATAAAAAAGTAAAATTATTTACCCTGGGTATGTTTGCCAGAGATGTGACACACTAAGACTAACAAATTCAACTTTTAAAACTTTAACACTTATCAGCACTAAACAACTACACCAAAAATTCCCCCACTATTACTCATTAATAAAAATGTCTGGTTGTGTAGCTAGAACAGCTAAATAGAGAACTACTGCTGCATCCTACAGCTTTTTTTTGGAATTAATAACTCTATCCACAGACGTGACATTTAAGGTGGTGACAAGTGCTTCAATTACATAAAAGTTACTTTAAAAATGTTTTGAGGAAAATATTATGTCAACTCTAATTTTAATGTATTCTTGATTATTTATTATATATTAAAATAAAAGTAAAGTACTAGCAACAAGGTTTAAACTTCTTGGGATTAGCAAAAAGTCTGGGTGGTGACATTCCACGGATGTGACTTATCACAGTCTGTGGAACATTATTTATTCACTGAAAATGCTATTTAGGTTTGGTTTTCATCAGTTTAACATTGTATTAGCTGTATATTTGTTATTTGCACTGGTTTAAAGTATAAATAGTATTAACTTGAAAAAAAAATTAGTGGGGACAGTATATTGCTACTTTTTTGGAGAATGATCCATATACATATACGAAATATATGAAAGTATAATTATTGTTTTAAAACTAAAATAAAAAATACAATGCCTTTTAAAAAAAATTAGTTGCATAATATTCTGCAATGCTTTTTAAAAAGCACAATTGTAAATATAAAAAAGAGCTCAATTTAAATGAGGAGCAGCTCGCACAGCTCCCCAAGAGCAATGAAGTGCCTTTGTATGGAATTAGATAAGTGAAAAATGTCACCAAATGTGACAAATGTATATATGCTAAAGTAAACAAGTAGTAAATAAATAGTACCTTTCTAAAATTGTAAGCATCTTCAAGCTGTCCAGCAGAATTAATATAACTTTGCCATCGAAGAGAGTTAAGTGCCTTATATCTACCTTCCTCTGGGTGTACTTGACACTCATGAACATTTATGATATTTTCTCTACCAGAACGAACATAGAATACTTGTTGCATAGTTTCATTCGGGTCCAAATCTTTGTCATCCGAGCAACCATTCCATGACTCAAAAATATTAGCTAACTTAATTAAACCTGTATTATGGAAATGAAAAACTTTATACTCATTTTCATAAGTACCAATAACAAATTGACCAGAATCTTTAAATTCATTTGCAAAAAATAACTTGAGAGTTTTAACATCTAAAATGTTTATACTAAAAACCTCTCCCAATGGTGTCTCAAAATTCATTGAAGAGTTTAAAGACAAACTCAGGCTGTCTTTACTGATTTCATTAATTTCTTTATCAGTTTCATTAAGTTCTTTGCTAGTTTCATTAATTTCTATTTTACTGTTGTATGTTTGATTATCTAAATTTCTATCTTCTATACTTTCATCAGTGACTAGTTCCCCTAAGTCAGTGCAACCTGTAGATAACAAAGTATTTGGAGTCCAACTTAGCATCAAGTCAGAGATCTCACTATCAGTTCTATAAATCTTCTTAATACACAAATATCCAAGACTGTGCTCATTTTCATAATTTTCACCCAAAACAGAATGTACACAAACATTGTTTTTGCAAAACAATGCTTCTTCTTCTAAAATGCTATCTTGTGTTAAAATTTTGATCTTAGGTTTTAGTGGCTCACCATCATACACATGGTAAAAAGCTTTGTCAATGGTGCTCACTATAAAAGATAGAAGATTCTTCTTAGGGGATTTTCTACCAGCCATTTTTCAATACCATTTGTGATCTAAAATAAGTATTTATTGTATTGTTTACTATGAAGTTTATAATTTATTTTTACTACAAGCGTATAATCAAGAACTTACCAAAAATAAACTTGAACGCAAAACTTTTTATATCAATGCAGGGCTTTGGAGCTGCTCCGGAGCTGGAGCCAGAGCTTTCTGAAGCTGGTGTTTTTACAAAGAGCTGAGCCGGAGTTGGAGCTGAAATATTTCTAGGTGGAGCTGGCTCCAGAGCTGGCTCCAAGCTAGCTCCTCTCTTTGATAATTTGGAATATCAAAGTATGAATACTTTTTGCTAAAGGGATTTTTAAGTACTATGAAGTTATTTTCTATATGAAAAAAGATTTTTCTCAATTAAACTGTAATTAATAATGCATTTAAAGTTTTATGATTTCTAAATAAAGCATTTTATACTATGATATTGATATTATATGCATAGATTGAGTGTTAAGTATTTGATGCTCACCTTGAGGCACTTAGAAATTTAATATTTTATAAATTATACTTGAGCTGATGTATATAAAGTTGTTTTTGCATACATTCAAAAATTTGTGAGCATTTTTTTTTTTGATTTTCATAAAATCGTGTTTAGTAAAATGCCATGTAGATTATGTTGCTGCATATGATAATTTTAAAGTTACTTCCAAACATTGATGAGAAACATGAGGAGTATTTATGACAGGATATAAATGAGAAAGAATGTGCAGAGTTTGGGGGGAAAAAAAACTAACCTTAGTTCTCCAAGAAGGGTGTAAACATACTAAGATTGAGGTGATATGCTGTGTTATTCACACTTTGCAGCTAGTTAATTGTGATGCTTTTTAAGAAACATACTCTTGACAAAAGTCCGGTATCTTGTGAAGAAACTAAGAAATTTGTAATATATTTCTAGCCACAGTTTATGTTGATGCTAATTGTAGAATATTGTTAGAAGATAAATAGATATATGAGAAAGTTTTAAAGCGATAGCAGAAAATAATCATATAAGAATGCCAAAAATATAACAGTAAGTCAAGAAATAAGAAAAACAGCTGAATTATCTACAGCACTTTATTCAGTTTTAATTAAATCTAATTCTGATGAAGAATTTGACAAGTTTGAAAAAGAGTTTGATAAAAAAGAAAAATTCAGAATGTGACCAAAATTAACTTTTTAAATAAAAACACTTTTAATACAAATTTGAATGTCACAACCGGTGAAAAAAAAAAAGTTTAAAAGTAAAATCAGCTATTGAGGAAATTAAGAAATATCCAAAAAAGATACAGAGCTGGTCAGAGTAGTCACTTCTGTGGCTTTTTTACAAGCAAGTGTAAAGAGTCTATTTTCTGCACTTGAATTTAAATCAAGCAATCTTGATAGAACCATCAAAACATTATATTTTATATAACATTCTATTATTTCGATTTGTTTCTTCTGGAGCCACTCTAGAGCTGCTCCGGAGCAGGAGCCAAACATTTTAATAGTGCTGGAACCTGGAGCTGGAGCCATTTTTTTTACCTCTGCTCCAAAGCCCTGTATCAATGTTTAATTTTTATCAATTAATAAAAAAATTATTAATGAGAAAAAAATAAATATGAAATGAATCAAAATAAAATGAAACAAAAAATATCAGGGAAAAAGTTTTAAAAAATTAAAAACAGCTTTTTAATTTAATAAAAATAATAATTATAATAAATAGAAGAACAAGAAATTATTGTCATAACTATAACTCTTATTATTATTATTATTATTATTATTATTGCTATTATTATTATTATCATTATTATTATTATTATTATTATTATTATTATTATTATATATATTTATATATATATATTTATATATATAAATATATATATATATATATATATATATATATATATAAATATATATATATACACACATATATATATACATATATTTATATATATATATATATATATATATATATATATATATATATATATATATATATATATATATATATATATATATATATATATATATATATACACACATATATATATATATATATATATATATATATATATATATATATATCCTTAACTGAATTGTGATTATAATGATGATTAAATATTATAGATTTATGGTTTAAATGGCTTATGGTTTATAAGTTATTTAGAAAACAGATACCAAAGAGTAAAAAAAAAAATCAGAGTTTACTTCCTGGAAACAATTAATAAGAAGCTGGAAACAATTAATATGGAATTAGGCAGAATAAATTAATTTGTTGGTGCAAAATCTTCCAACTGAGTGTGAGTATGAAACCATACAATTTGCAGATGATAGAAAAACTTAAGCTAATAATTACCACTAACAGCCAAGGTAACCATGTTTAAAAAAAGATTTTGTAAAATGGGAATAAAAGTATATAAAGAAATTGTAGATGTAATGTAACATATTGAAAAATGAATGATTCATTAAAGAAAAAGAAAAAAAAAATCTGCACAGGTATCAGGTTGTTGTCAAAGTAAAAATATTTAAAAAAACTCATACACTGTTAATTGTTGATTTGGCTACAAATTTAAAAAGTCTAGTTTTCTTTTTGCTAGCAAAGCTCTTTGATAGTGTAAAAAATAACTTGATTAGTACTAAAGAGTTTGTTTTCATCTTAGTTGACTGGATTACAGTTTTTATATAAAAATGTCTGCTGGATAAACTTTTTAAGATTTTTTTCTTAAAGAGTACAGAGTACTCTTTCATCCAATATAAAAGGCATCAAAAATTTGGAATAAAACAGTAACAATATAGAAAATGTCAATCTAGCATTAAATATGTTTCATAAAACATATTTAAAACTCGGAGAACACAATCATTACGTACTTTGTAGTTAATTTAAATCTCATTGAATTTCATTTTATTGTCTTTTTTAAATTTTTTTAATAGTGATATAGATGGTGATGAAAATTTTGTCATATTATGACACAATTTTCATTTCTTACAAAACACAATTTCATTTCTCACAAATCACAATTTTCATTTCTCACAAAAAAATTGGTCTTATGACTCATAAGACCATTTTTTTTCACCGTCGGGAAAGAAGCATTAGTGAAATAAGTAATACTTATAAAAAATATAATTAAAAATCTTTTAACAAAGGTAATATATGATACCAAACTAGTAAGTTAACAGTTGTCGTTCTCGACAAATAAGGAACTGCTAGATGAAAATTTTACGTGCAAATTGTTTATTTTATAAATGTTTATTACGTGCAAATTGTTTAATTGATTATCGAGTGAATTTATCTGGAATGGAAGCAAGCTGCAGTTAAATATTATGAGCTAATTTTAAAAAATATAATAGTCATACAGATTTTCAAAATTAAAAACAATGGCATTAATGGCGATTACTTCCATCTTAAATCTTCTAATTTGAATTTAAATGAGATATTTCTAATAAAACATTTTAAAAACAAAACCCGAAATTTATAAAAAACCGAAAGCTTTTATAAAAGTTACGCATGCGCTGTGCAAAACCGTTTTTTATTATTTTTTTAAAGCTCTATTACTACTGATCTCTATAATAATAGATATTAATAATAGTTATTAAAGAGATCAGTGGGCCCTATCCTATAAAGCGAATTTACAATGTAAATTTTTACATTGTTTACAGTGTATAATTACAGTCCTATAAAAAGTTTATGGCGATTTTTTGTTTACAATTTTACAATTATGTAAACTTCAATTTTACACTGCCCGAGAGGTGTGTAAAAATGTAGTTAAAATTGAATTTTATTGAGTTAAAAATGTCAAAATGTATCAAAGATATTGAAAATAAGTAAAGTAGTAAAAATAATTAATATTTTGTCTTTGGCTTACTTATTGGGAACTTTGGCAATCTATAAAGCTATTTTAAAAACAAAAGAATTTTTAGCAATCTATAAAGCTATTTTAAAAACTGCAAACAACATTCAACATTTTGCCAAGTCTCTTAGTAAGAGAGTTGCTTAAAATACATATAGGATTTTTTTATTTGAATTCGAAGCATCTTATAGGTTCTTTAATATACAGAAATTCTATCCCTTTGATTCTTTAGTATTTGTTAACAGAAATACTTAGGAGCTTGAATAGACAATTCTTAGACAAAGAATAACACATTTTGTAATTATTTATTTTCTTGTTAGAGACTCTAACAAAAAAATTAATAATTACAAAATGTGTTATTCTTTCTCTAGCCATCTCTCTTAAGTATTTCTGTTCACAAATACTAAAGAGCTAAAACTAAATAAATACTAAAACAAACTCTAATAGAGTAACTTCAGAGTACTTCAAAGTAATACAAATTATAATACAAAAATTAAATTTTTTGTATTGTGTAAGGTATGAAAAAATATTCAAAGTTGCCAAGAATTTATACTACAAGGAAGTAAAGCTATAATTAAACCCAAGATGACTTTTTTTTTAATTTAAATGCAAATTTAGCAGTAATTACAATAAAAAATGACACTATAAAACAAATTTTTGTTGTTAAAATACACTAATATTTTTTTTATTAGCCCTGTAAAATGAACAGTTCTGAGTCAGAGTCAGATCTTGATGATCTCTATGATTTTCAAAAAAGATTTACTGACAGAACACCTCGACAGGTAAAAACCAGCATTATTTTTTTAACAGTATGTTTTTAGATTTATAAGGGGTATACTCCCCCATTTTTAAATATAGACAATAAATAACAACATTTGACATAAAATGATTATCCATATCATAAATGTAGAAAATTGAAAAAAAAAAAAATTGGTCAACGGTTTTTGCAGTAATCGTAAAAAAAACCCTAAAATAAGCAGAAAATAAGATTTGCGCTGGCCAAGTTTTAGCAAAAACTAATAAAAAAAGCTGAACGAAACTTTGGAAACACAATTAGAATAGGTTTATGAGTGTTTTAAACAAAACAGATTTTTTTTAAAAAGTTTTGGGCCTGAAGACTTGTGATCTAAAGTTGACAATAGAAAAAAGTGCATTTTTCGAAGAATTAAATTAGCTATACCGTTTTATTCATAAGTATTTCAAAATTCTGTTCCGTTTAAAACAGCTTTAGGAAAATTTGTTGAAAATTTCAAATAAAACGCTCAAGCGTTTTTTTTTGTAATTTTGGCCGGCATATTGAAAAACCTCAAACTGAGAAAACGCATAAAAACTGAAAATAAACGATAAAAAATCTACAAATATACGTAACATTATATAATATATAATATATATATAATATATTATATATATAATACTATATTTAATATTAAAAACCTCCTCCTTCATATGATTTACTTTCTTTTTCAGAGGTTTTGTCACTTTTCTTTAGTTTTTTAGCCCTTAACTTTTGACGATGCAACTT